AAGACCAGCCTGACCAACATGCAGAAACCCCACCTCTACTAAAAATTAGCCAAGCATGGTGGCATGTGCCTGTAATCCCAGCTACTTGGGAGGCTGAGGCCGGAGAATTGCTTCAACCTGGGAAGCAGAGGTTGTAGTGAGCCGAGATTGCACTCCAGCATGGACAACGAGAAGGAAACTCCGTCTCAAAAATAATAATAATAATAATAATAATAATAATAATAATAGATAGGCATAGGCGCAGCGCGATGGTGGGATTCGAGCCCCTGAGGCTCGGGCTGGCGAGACACTTGGAGAGAAAAGCTGGGTCCCAGATTTTGAGGCCTGGGGAGACCCAAACCTATCCTGCGGGTTTTCAGGCTGGAGGGCGGAAGCAGTGCCCCCAGGCCCCCCAGGGTCCCGGGAACAAAGGCTGAGTGTTTGCTCTGTGGCTGAAGGGAAAATACTCCACCCATCCCCCCCCACCCCCCCCACCCCCGTATTCCTGTCACCGCAGGGGGCGGAGGTGCGCTCCTCCCCAGAGCAGCTTCCTGGTTCTCTGGCCAAGCCCTCTGACCTCCGAAGTAGAGCCTCCTTAGGGTGGAGCCAGGGGACAGCACGAGGTCCCCATGGGGTGTCTGTCAGCCCTGGGCGCCATGCCCTGAGCGCTCTGCTGTCAGTTACTTAAACGTGTGTGGCACTTTCTGGCGGCCAGGTGCTCAGCAGCATGCAGATAACGGAAAGGGTTCCTTACAACGGCCTGTGAGCGAGGGGCAGCCTCACGGAGTCGTCTGCTGGAGGGAGGTGCTGCTGGGGTGGGGTTGGGTGTGGCTTCTGCGTGCCAGCAGTGGCTGCCCCGCCGAGGGCACCTCCATCTGGAAGCTCCAGCCAGTCGCAGTGCAGTCCACAGGTTCCAGATGGGGCTGTGGGGGCAGAGTGAGGGCGGGAAGCCTCCCGGGGGTCAAATTAAGAGAAGGTCCCTGTTCCGGGGACCCCAGGGCGAGGTTTCCAGGCAGAGGGAAGCCCGGGGCGGGTTGTCGTGGGGCTGTCGGAGTCTCTAGCTGGAGTTACTGGGGCAGGGAGGTCGGAAACGGAGGCGAACCGGTGTGAGCCTCCGCCTGCTGAGAGCCGCAGGGAGGGGCTGGAGTCCACTGTCAGCGGCCTGTGACCCAGACCTTCCACCGCTGGCAATTGCAGGAGCCTCCTCCCTGGTCTCTGCCCTCACAGCAGAGCCAGCCGCCCCTGTGCCCTAGCAGAAGCTGGGCTCTTACAGCGCAGCTCCCCACCGCCCCCCACCCGCCCGGCCCCAGCGCTCACCTCTCCAGGCACCGTCCCGGCTCCGGGGCCCCCGCGCTGCCCGTTCTGTTCTGCATTCCCTCTGCCCTGTGAGGCAGACCTCTGCTGTCTTCACTGCATTATTTCCCCAGACTCAGCCACCATCGAAGGTGTACCGTGTCCTAGGACCCTTGCAGCTGGCATGCAGGGAGGAGTGTGAGGCTCCCTGTCCCTCCTCAGACTCTCAGAATTCAAAAGAGCCACGCTTTTCTGTCCTTGCCCTGCTGGGCCAAAGGATGCCCTGCCTTCTTTTCTCTCTGGGGTAGACACCCTGAGCTTTTGCTGTGCACCTGCCACGTGGAACAGGGAGCCGCCCC